GCTTCTCCTGGAAGAACTGAAATTCCCTTTGACACTGTGTGTAACACTGTGTGTGACAAAGCAGGAGCTGGAGAAGAGGATTAAGGCTGGAGTTTCAGGAAGCACAGTGGTGACTGTTGTGAGAGCGGCTCTGGGGCTCAGATCCCAGCCAAGCTGCTTCTCCACTGTTTGGCTATGGGCAGGCCTCATAGGTCTTCCCTGGTGCTGCAGTGGTTAATGCAAGAAACACAAGAGACGCAGATTCAGTTCCTGGGTTGGGAAGATCCCCTGGAGGAGGGCATGGCAACCCACTCCAGTACTCTCACCTAGAAAATCCCATGAACAGAGGAGCCTGGCAGGCCACAGTCTATGGGGTCACAAAGAGCTAGAGACGACTGAGTGTGCCCATGCACACATGCGCACACACAGACACACACACAGGCCTTGCAGGCTCTCTGACTCTTAGGAACCTCAACTGTGATCATAATACACACCTTGAGAGGGTAATACTGGGGTACCACCATACCATGGACACTGGGATGGTGGGGGCACCCTGGACAAGAGTCCTTATCCATTTCTTTCTTGCTGTTTGGGTATCAACAGATATTCTGTTTGTGGTGGATGGTGACATCCCAGATGCAGAATGGAAGAAGCCACATGGGGTGGTCTTTTAGGAACTCATTTATTTACATATTAAATTTTTTTTATTATAGTATAGTTGATCTATAATGTACTGATTTTCTGCTGTATAGCAAAGTGACTCAGTTATGCACATATATACACTCTTTTTTAAAATATTCTTTTCCATTATGGTCTGTATGCAGAGATGGATATAGTTTCCTGTGTTACACAGTAGGACCTTGTTTTTAATCTGTTCTAAATGTAATAGTTTGGATCTGCTAACCCCAGACTCCGAATCCATCCCTTCTCTGCCCCTTTCTCCCTTGCCAACCACAAGTCTGTTCTCTGTATCTGTGAGTCTGTTTTGTAGAGAGGTTCCTTTGTGCCACATTTTAGGTTCCACTTATAAGTGATGCCATATGGTATTTGTCTTCGTCTTTCTGACTTCACTTTGTGTGATAATATCTAGTTGTATCCATGTTGCTGCAAATGCATTATTTTGTTCTTTCTTAATGGCTGAGTAGTATTCCATTGTATCTATATACCACATCTTCTTTTTAAAATGTTTATTTGTTTATTAGATTGTACTGGGACTTAGTTGTGGCATACAGGGTCTTTGTTTTTGGCAGTATGTGGCATCTTTAGCGGTATTGAAAACTCTTCGTTGCAGCATGTGGAATCTAGTTCCTTGACCAGGGAAAAAACCTGGGCCCCCTGCATTGGGAGCTTGGAGTCTCAGTCACTGGACCACCAGGGAAGTCCCATGTACCACATCTTCTTAATCTGTTCATCTGTTGATGGACATTTAGGTTGCTTTCACGTCTTGACTATTGTGAATAGTGCTATTATGAACATAGGGGTGCATGTATATATATATTTTTGGCCATACCACATGGCTTGTAGGAGCTTAGTTCCCTGACACGGATTAAACCCAGGCCTTTGGCAGTGAGAGCACATTGTCCTAACCACTGGACCACCAGGGAATTCCCACATGTATCTTTTTGAATTGTAATTTTGTCCAAGTGTATGCCCAGGAGTGGGACTGCTGGATCATATGTTAACTCTATCTTCAGTTTTCTGAGGAACCTCCATACTGTTTTCCATAGTGGATGTGCGAACTTAAATTCCCACCAGCAGTGTAGGAGAGAGAGGAATTCATACTTTAAAGCAGACATCTTGAGTGCATTTGAAGCAAGCTTACATAGAAATCACATAGAACAGTGGACTTCCATGGTGGTCCAGTGGGTAAGAACCTGCTTGCCAATGCAGGGGATACTGGTTCGATCCCTGGTCCGGGAAGATCCCACATGCCACAGGGCAACTAGGCCTGTGCATCACAGCTGCTGAGCCTGCGAGCCCTAGAGCCTGTGCTCCACGGCAAGAAAAGCCACCTCAACGAGAGGCCTCCTGCAAACTGCAACTGTGAGTTTGAAAGTTTCTCACCATTAGTCGAGAAAGCCCATGTGCCACAAAGAAGACAAAGTGCAGCCTTAAATAAATGAATAAAAAAAAAAAAAGAAATCACATAGAACAGTCATAAATATTTGAGAAAATAGGTTCCTGAAAAAAATTTAGTATTTTGGTGAATAGGAAATTGCAGTTGTTGGGAGATAAATCTTCATCTGTTTGCCAATGTGCCATTAGGATCCATTTGGAAGTCCAGGGGCTCTTTGGTTAATCAAAGATAGAGGAGTTGTAAAATGAGGGAGAAGTTGTCTCATGCTAGTGTTTCCCTAAATGCTTACAGGACATTTCACCTACAAGATCTTTTGGAACAAAAGGTGTCTGTTGTCCATAAAGGGCTGGAAACAAACTACAGTTAAGAATTGATGTTTTACCATGCAAGAGTTCTTCCCTGACCCCAATGGCCAATGCAGGTTAATCTATTAAGATTCATGAGACATCAGGTAGCAAGGAAACCTGGTATAACCCAGCATTTTTCAAGTTCATTTGAGTAAGAGATCTTTCCCAGATAACTCCTACTGAATAGGAGAAATGGAGTGGGCAAAGGTTGAGAAATACAGCTTTGATTGTTGGGTGGGGTGTGAGGTTGGTTGTGTAAGGTTGAGTTGTGAGTGGATTTTACTGGAGAATTCTCAAGAGAGAACTAATACAGATGGAAGTTGCAAGGACTGCTGAGTAGGTTTTTTTTTTTTTTTAAATCTCTAGTTAAAAAAATTGGGACTTCCCTGGCAGTTCAGTGGTAAGACTCATGCTTCCCCTGCAGGGGGTATAGGTTCTATCTCCGGTCGGGGAATTGAGATCCTGCACACCACACAGTGTGGGCAACAGTAACAGATTTCCCATTTCCTCAACATTTTCTTATATAAACTATTTCAAACATTCAGGAAAACTGAGAGATTAGCTATATGATCAGGCCACTCAGGATGGCTGTTCTCTTGCTCTTTGTTCATCCCCTGTTCGACCAGTCCCTGCTTCACCTACACCCTACTCAAGTGTGTGCGTGATAAGTCGTTTCAGTTGTGTCTGACTCTTTGCGACCCTATGGACTGTAGCCTGCCAGGCTTCTCTGTCCATGGGATTCTCCAGGCAAGAATACTGGAGTGGGTTGCCATTTCCTCTTCCAGGGGATCTTCCCGACCCAGGGATCAAACCCCTGTCTCTTATGTCTCCTGCATTGGCAGGCGGGTTCCTTCCCAATCCTCTTGATCTTAGGGCTTGTTGAGTAACTACCTATGTGATTGCCCCCTGCCCCAGCCACTGGTTTCCCTGGTGACTGATGAGCTAGCCTGATGTTAGTTATGTCAGTTGCCCCTGTAAATGGTAGCCTTTTTATTCCTCGAGTAGAGAAGATTTCTGCTGTGTCCTGCCTTCTGCCCATGGTGGAGTGCTTCTCCAGGACTTTTTGCTTCCGATTTGTAAGATTAGCTATCCAACAAGCTATTAGTGTCTCTGTCACTGTCTCTAGGCATTTTCTTTGGTCTCCTGGCTGGACAGTTACAAGGCTTACAGGCCTGCAGGGTGCAGCCCAACATTAGTACCATGAAGTCTAAAGTTATATACACATTATGATGGACTTCTCAGGTAGCTCAGTGGCTAAAGGATCCACATGCAATGCAGGTGATGTAAGAGAACTGGGTTTGATCCCTGAGCTGGGAAGATCCCCTGGAGAAGGAAATGGCAACCCACTCCAGTATTCTTGCCTGGGGAATTCCATGGACAGAGGCACCTGGTGGGCTACAGTCCATGGGGTCACAAAAAGTCAGACAGGACTGAAGCGACTCAGCATGGATACATGCATACACATTATGACACATCACTTCCCAATATTTAACATACATCACTTAAGACTAAAGCTATTTGTTTTCAGACCCACAGTGTCATTATACCTACTAAGAAAGCCATCTAAAATCAACTTAATGAAGAAGAAAAAATAAAATCAACTTAATGTTTAAATCCCTCCCATCTACAACTTAAAAAAAAACAATTACTTTTAAAAATGATTGGTATTTATTTTAACGTAGAATAGTTCCTCTTCCTCTTTTTTTGTCCTGTGACATTGACCTTTTGAAGAACCTATGCTAGTGATTGTACAAATGTCCCACATCCTAGATTTCTGTTTCCTCATGATGTTCAGTTTTTCCTCTGTCCTGGTAATTCTTTGCCCTGGCTGCACATCGGAACCACCTGTCTCGATTAATTGACAGTACAAGGAAGGGGGATTAATTGGCCCACTCTGTTCTCACTGGAATTATTTAAACCAAATTTAAAGCCAAGAAAAGAGAATACCAATGCCTGTGTTCCACTCTAAACCAATTAAATTAGAATCTCTGGAGTTGAAGCTCAGGTGACCCTGGTTTCAAAATTCTCTAGGTGATTCTGGTAAGTAGTCAGCACTAAGAACCGCTGCTCTATCCTGTGGATCCTATAAATTAGAAGTTAGACTCAGGCTATATATTTTTTGTCTGGAATACTTTGCACATTGCAATTACCTTGGAAGCTTTAAAAAATACTGATACATGGGGCCCAACCCAGAGATTCTGATATAGTTGGTCTGGCAGCGTGGCCTAGGCTTTGGGAGTTTTGAAATCTGCTCAGGTGATTTTAATACAGCCAGGAAGACCCACTGCCTTAGATTATTTTTTTGTTTAATTTGCATCCTATCAGGAGGCGCACAATGTCACACTATTCCATTATTTGTGATGCCATTTTCAATCACTGGATTAAGGTGGTCACACCAGACCTCTGCATCACCTCTTCATCCTTCATCGCAGATGTACTATTGCTCCTGTTTCCAGAGGTAAGTGATCCCTGAGATGATACCTTGGTGTTGCTAACAAGTTTTAATCCAATGGTTTTAGCCACTGGTGATTGTTAACCTCTGTCAAGTATTATGTGGAGGGTGAGTATAAAGGGTGATCTAATCTTGTCTTTCTTTCTGTGACAGACTATGGCTGAGTGCAGCCCTAAGTTTGCAGGCCTTGCTGCAGTGCCACTATGCCGCATCCAACTCTGGTTGCCATTGGACCTGTGGGGGCCCTGCTCAGTGATTGGTCGACACTGCAGTGGGCCCCTCCCACAAGCAACCAATTGTCAAAGAGAGACCATTTGGTGGTCCTGCTCAGTCATTGGTCAGCACTGCAGTGAGCCCCGCCCACAAGCAACCAGCTGTCAGGGAGAGACTGTTAGTTGAGAGGATTCAGCCAACAGTCGTCCAGCAGTGGAGTGGTGGTCCTCAGGTGGACAGTGAGGTAAGAGGTAGATCCTTCTCTCCAGCTTACCTGGCCTCGGGCCAGCAGGTGTGCTCTGGGGGCCCAGCTTGCTAGGGCCTTGGCCCAGGCCTTGAGGCGGTGGTGAACCTCTTCCCCCTCCTCACCTCTGGCCTGATAGCAATGGCAGTCCGCATAGGACACAGTCTATGGGCCCTGGCCCCCACCATTTGGGCAGCCTGAGGAGCATAAGGGTTGGTTGCGTCCTGGGCGCCTGGCTCCCTCAGTGACAACAGCTGTGCAGGGTCTGGGGACCTGGCCCTGAGGGAGCTGCCAACTGAGATCTGCCTCCTCAGCCCGGACTGGGACTTCAGAAGGACAAAGCTGTGCTTTGGGACCCTGGCCTTTCTTGTCAGAATAGGGAATAACATTTGTTTGGTAAAGATTTGCAGGAACATCATTCCCTGACCATGATCTGACCGCCAGAACAAAGGCTCTGATACCAAGTTTGCAACAGCTAACCACACCCCTCTGTCACCTTTCCTAGAAAAGGGCTTTGCTGAAAGCTTTTGGGGAGTTTGGAATTTTAAGTCATGAGCCACCACCCATCTCCTTGCAGGGCCCTACAACATACCTTTTCTCTGTTCCAAACTCCAAAGTTTTGGTATGTTTGGCCTCACTGTGTGATGAGCACATGGACTTGAGTTTTGGTATCACTTTCACATTTATTTGACTTTCTTTTGTAAAGAAGATCTCTCCTGTTTATACTCTCACCATCCCTGGACACATATATTTTTATTTACTAACTAGCTACAATCATTATCCTTTTTGATATTCAAATTATACTAAATTTGGCCTGTGGGAGCCCCTTCAAGCTGGCTTTTCTTAAAAGTAAAAAAATTTAATTGAATTACATAGAGAAATATACAAAAGATTGAGTCTATAGTTCAAAAATATCCCAGAGCAAACACCTGTGTAACCAGTTCCCAGATCAAGAAACAGAACAATGCAATTACCCCAGGAGCCTCCATCACACCCTCTTCCTATCTTTCCCCACAAGAGTAACAACTAAGAGTCTTACTTTTAAACTTGATCAGTTTGCCTGTTTGGGAACTTTGTATAAATAGGATCATAGAGCATATAATGTTTTTATGTGTCTGGCTTCTGTGTTCATCATCATGTCCATGAGATTCATCTATGGTGTGTGTAGTTGTAGTTCTTTTTCATCCCTCCTGTAATTTATTTATCCATTCTAATGTTGGTGGGCATTTAGGCTGGTTCCGGGTTCTGTTAAAACAGTGCTGCTGGCTGATTCATGTCAATGTATGACAAAAACCACTACAATATTGTGAAGTAATTAGCCTCCAACTAATAAAAAAAAATTAAAAAAAAAACAAAACAGTGCTGCTATGGACATTCTGATACTTGTCTTTGGGTGAACATATTGTTGAGTTTTGTTTGCTTTTTTTGTTTTTGGAGGTGGGGAACATATACTTAACAGTGGAATTGCTTGTTCACAGAGTATGCTCAACTTTATTCAATACTGCCGAACAGTGTTTTCTTTGGTTATAACCCCATTGGTCTTGGTGTAGTTTTACTTTCTGGCAGAAGATGTCCTGGGCTCATTTTGTATGTTCTCTGACCTAGCCCTTGAATCTGCCATCTCTCTGAGGAGCCCTCATGCTTTTGAATAAGGAATAGTATTTAAAAACCAAGGTCTGCATGCTAGTGGTGCTCACTGATACCGGGAAGTCATTGCTTTTAGTTCCTTTTAGTGGGCAAAGGTAGAAAACTCACTAAAGAAAATAATCATGCATTTGAATTGTCAATTCCAATTTAACATTGCAGGATTTTTTCCCCATTAACTCTGTTTTTATTTTATATGTGCATCTCTTTTATGCTAAAAATCTTGGTTTCTAATAGCATCAATATGTTTTGTTTATTTGCTTTGTTCTACACTTAAAACAGTTGCAAAATTGCAATACTAACATTATTATATTGTCAGTATAACTGACAATAATATTATGAATTGAAGTGATGTATGTGTGAAGCTTTAGATTTCTTTGAAGTAATTTTTTGTCTCTCGTGAGCAATTTATAGGATACTAAATTGAATTGCCTAAACCTAAAGAGGATGAATAATTTATCCAGTGGCTTAAGAAGGTGGGTGTTGTGCTCAGAATAATATTGAGTGTGAGGCTTGGCCCTTCTAGACAATTACTGCTGTGGAGCTCCCATTCTTTGCCCCTCCCCCTCCTTTTTCCAAATTGCTTTTTGACGGATTTCAGGGTTTCCACTGGGGAGGGGTGCACCTGTGGGGATGCACTCCTTTCTCTCACTTAGAGGTTCTGTGGCCACCAGCCTCCCCGACCCAGGTTGTGATGGTTCATTTTGTGTCAGCTGGACTGGGCTCTGGTGCTCAGTTGTTTGGTCATGTATCAGTCTAGATGCTACTATGAAGGCATTTAAAACATATTTATTTGGCTGTGCCAGGTGGGTCTTCTGCCATGTGGAATCTTTTATTTGCAGCATGAGAAGTCTTAGCTGCAGCATGTGGGATCTAGTTCTCTAACCAGGGATCGAACCTGGGCTCTGTGCATTGGAAGCGTGGAGTCTTAGCCACTGGACCATTAGGGAAGTCCCTATGAAGGCATTTTTTTTTTTTTTTTTTTGCAGTCACTAGCGTATTTTTTAATTACTATGATGTAAATGGCAAAAAGAGTGTAAGGCCCTAGGATCTTTTTTCTTTCCAACTTTAACACTGAGTTGCTCTATCATGGTAAGCAAGTCAACATCCACGAGTCCCAGTTTCCATGTTAGTAAAATAAAGAATAACAAGTACCCAGCACAGTGCCTGGTATTTAGTAAATATGATTAAATATGTCCATTCATGTAACAGAATGATGCTCAGCTCTGGCTGCCCATTAGAATCTCCTGGGAAGTTTTTTTAAAATCTGAAGCTCAGTTCAGTTCAGTTTAGTTGCTCAATTGTGTCCAACTCTTCGTGACACCATGGACTGCAGCACACCAGGCTTCCCTGTCCTTCACCAACTCCTGGAGCTTACTCAAACTTATGTCCATTGAGTCAGTGATGGCATCCAACTATTTCATTCTCTGTCGTCCCCTTCTCCTCCCGCCATCCGTCTTTCCCAGCGTCAAGGTCTTTTCCAATGAGTCAGTTGTTCGTGTCAGGTAGCCAAAGTATTGGAGTTTCAGCTTCAGCATCAATCCTTCCAATGAGTTTTCAGGATTGATCTCCTTTAGGATGGACTGGTTGGATCTTGCAGTCCAAGGAACTTTCAAGAATCTTCTCCAACACCACAGTTCAAAAACATCAATTCTTTGGCGCTCAGCTTTCTTTATCGTCCAACTCTCACATCTATACATGGCTCTGAAATATGGAGGAAGGAACATTCTTCACTCTTGTCCCCTGCTAAGGAGTTAAAGGGAGGCAGTAATATTTACTGAGCTCCTGGCGGATGTCAAGGCATTTTCTCAGATGATGTTTACTCTTTATTATGACACTTTGAGGTACATATTCATATACCGTTTGGCGATTCCCTGAAAGGTGGAAGGCACTCTTGGGATGGCTCAGAGGCAACACCTAGGCTCCTGTAAATTGAAAGGGAAAGGGACTGAAAGGGAAAGTGAAGAAGGAATTCATAGGGCCTTGACTCCATCTGAGGCTTGTCCGTGCTGATCGTGCTTGGCCACCTCTCCAGTGGACTCTGAACTCTCTCCTATGAAGGCATTTTTGAAAGCTCTGATTAATATTTAAATTGGTAGATTTTGAGTAAAGTAGATGACTCTTCATAATGTGGTGGGTGTCATCCAATCAACTGAAAGCCTTAAGAGAAAAGACTCACATTTCAATGTATGACAAAAACCACTGCAATGATGTAAAGTAATTAGCCTCCAACTAATAAAAATAAATGGAAAAAAAAAAAAGAGAAAAGAGAAAAGACTCAGGGCCCTTGAAGAGGACTTCCATCTTACAGTTCCATCAATTTCTTGCTGGAATTGCCAGCTCGGCCCCTATTTGAATTTGCCAGTCCCTATCATCATGTGAGGACCTCCCTGGTGGCTCAGCAGTGAAGAATCTGCCTGTCAATTCAGGAGATGAGGGTTCAATCCCTGGGTCAGGAAGATTCCTTGAAGAAGGAAATGGCAACCCACTTTGGTATTCTTGCCTGGGAAATGCCATGGACAGAGGAGTTTGGAATGCTACAGTCCCTGTGGTTGCAAAGAGTTGACTATGATTTAGTGAAAAACAACCACATAATCATGTGAACTAATTTCTAAGATCCCCTCCCCACCTCTGCCCCAAGCCATCCTCTTTCTCTTCCCCACCCCCATCCTCTACACACACAGAGACAGACAGACCCTCACCCTCCCACCCACCCATGCTATGGATTTTGTTTCAATGGAGAACAGTTATAGAATGTTGGTTATCTCAAGCCTCAGACAAAATGGTCCGGAGTCTCTGCTGTGTGGCCCAGGAATAGCAGAGCAAGGTGAAAAGCAGATTGTTACATCCAGGCAGAAGAGGTGTGTAGCAGGTTGATAAGGGGCCCTGCGGAGGGAGTAGGTGCAGGAAATAGTAGGGAAGAACCTCCCTCCTCTCCCACTTAGAACCTGGCTACTGTGGCTGCTTGCACCTGGAAGATGTGATCTTTGTTTGACTTGGAGCCAGAGCATCTTCCTGGTCCAGGAGCAGCCTAACACTCTGTTTCAGTGAGAGAGGAAGAGGCCCTCCGTGACCTTCGAGTGCCCCTGGAGTCAATTGATCTAGGTAGGGTTCCTGTCAGTGGCTTGCGGGTGGGTCGGGCTGTGTGCACAGCAGTGTTTGAGAAGGGCTTCCCCTCAGCAGCAGGAGGAGCTGATCTCGTTTCTTAGAGTAAAGGCCCAGCTGCTTGTTGTTAAGAGGCACTGCAGGATTTTCTGTTTTAGCTTATTCCTACCCAGGAGGAGGAGACTTTTGGGGAAATAGAGGAAACCACAGAATATTCAGGAACATAATAATGCGTTGAGGTTATGCCATGA